ATTTTATTTTGATCGCATAGTGCGACTTTTCAACATCTTCGCACCAGCCCGAATTTTATGACATACAACAAAATTACTGATTTCCATTATAATATTAGCGTTATACTGCTTAGTAACGTTGTAGGAACTTAACGAATTCGGTAAAACACACACTTAACACGTTTCATCTATAATTGTTTTACAAAACTAATTATGTAAAGGTGAGGCTTTATAATTATATACATAAACACATAACCTTTCACAGGATACATTTTTAAGGAATTATTTGTGAAACCATTTTATATTAGATTACGTTCTTAAATCAGATTTTACTAATGGTTATACTAAATGGTAAAGATCTGATAATGTGACATAAAACTCATATCATTCACTATAGTGTATGGACTGTGTTTTGAAGTTGTAGCCGAACCAAGGTAATAAACCCGACTATTTGTTGACAAAGATAGTATTTTTAATTTAATTAACATTAAAGTATTGAATTTTGTTTGAACAAATAAGGAAGAGGTTAATAATGTATTCGGTGAGAGTTGATAGGTAACGAAAATGTCTCGCAATACCTACTGTCGCTTAAATATCACAAGTTGTATGAGGATGTCGCTTATCGCCCGCAAGCACAGGTTTTTGTGGTACGGGGTCGCAGCTGTTGCCAGTTGCGACTTTTTACCATGTTTTTATTAACTTGCTGTGACGACTGTGAGTTCGGTACAAATTTTGCAATTGATCTTAAACTAACTTCTCGATGAACTTGTAAAATTTGTAAAATTTATGTACACTTTCCCTATTCGCAATTAGTTGTAAACAACAGTTCTTTACGCAAAAGGGTTGTCTGGAAGAAATCATTTTCAGAGCGATAAAACCACCTGTTGTACTTTCTATATATATTTTTTTTCTTTCTATATTTCATTTTGTCTCGTTTTAATGTGTATTGGTGTACAATAAATAATACATTGATTAATTGATTGATTGATTGATTGAGCTGGACTTTTGAAACTTTAAACAAACTATTGTAGAATTGTAGAATACACTTGTAAAAGTACACCCTCATATCTCATCTTTCACTTCGTCATAATTAAAGCAGTACCTTTGCACATGTGTTATTTTTACCATTTTCCTATGAATGTATGTGTGTACATAAATTATTAAATAAATAAAGTTCGAAACTGACTTACATTGCAATAGTAACTCACTTTCTTGTCTGTCTGTTTGTATGTATGTTTAGTACAAATTTAGCAATCGGTTTTAAACCAACTTTCCGATGAGTTAGAGGTTTGAAAGTTAAAATATTTAAAAATGTTTTTTTTTTAATTATCTATAATGTTTCTGCAAAAATAATTAGCGGGCCGCAATTTATACTGAATTTGGAAACCCTGCTTTCTATCAACTCCCACCGAACATACGGCAAATTATTGCCATATATGTATAAATAAAAACATTAACTGGGTGCTAAAGAAATTGTAACTTAAGAACTATGTACAGCGTTAAGTAGGACATAAACGCATAATAAATAAAACATAAACACAGTAACTTTATGAGATTAACATTAAGATCTGGAACTTAAAGAAATGCATTCAATTTTCAGCTTTAAATATATGTATATGAGTCTCAATTTCAACTAACTGTTCGAAAGTATGAGATCGATTAACGTACTCACACTTGTGATGTATTTTTCTAAAATACAAACATTAACTACACACTCTCGACTATACCATAATGTGAAGTGAAAAATTCTAAGGTATAAATTAATTTTGAAAATTATGTGCAAAAAATATTATAATGACACGCTTTTAACAATTGAAGTATAATATCAGACATATAAATAAAGATAGACGGAGCGCTGTGTATATTTCAAGCCAAAACCATGCTCAACTTATTGTAAGAATAACTCACACACACACGTGTATTTTTTTATAGGATAGCTTGACAAACGAGCACAGTCCACCTGATGGTAAGTGGTTGCTGTGGCCCATAGACATCTACATCTACCCTCGTTTGCAAATCAAAATACAGATGCGTTGTCGCCCGTGAGGACTAAGATGGAATGCCTCTTTTCCAGTAAAAAGGGTCTCCGGCTGACCACACTCACCATACGAAACACAGCAGTTTTAAGCTGCTATTTTATATATTACGCTGGTATTCTGTGAGACACACATGTATCTAAAATCTATACTAATAGCAATGTTATAAGTGCATGCAAGCGTTCAGCAGTAGACTTTCAAGTGTATGGATATTCACTACTCTATATAACCCGTGCGTGTCATAAAAGACGACAGAGGGAAACGGAAACAGGAGATGAGCGGTAGCGTCTTCTGACACTTCCGAAAAACTCAAAATATTAAAAAAAAAAACTGCAGTTGCCGACCCGCCTGCCGATCGTGGTAACTATGGCAAAATCCTTCCTATGAGGTAATCTATGGGGGAGGCCTAAGTTCAGCAGAGGACTTTTGAAAAGCATTTGATCTAATGGAATAAGTCCGTACAGAATAATAAATTGGCTAGTCAAAGTTCTTTGTTCTTCTTTATTTTCACACTTTTATAGTAAAACAATATAGTCTTCTTTCTAGAAGCTACATGCGCATTAACGCAATATAATAATTATATTATTATTGACATTTTTATAACACAATATTTTTGTCGTTACGTGTGCAGTAACCTAGTACCGTGGGTTTATATAAGTCATCTTATTCTCCTATGAGACAATCAAGGCTATGGACTTTTACAAGCTGTAATGAGTAAATGAAAGAAAGATTAGAAAGAAAAAAGAAAAGAAAGAAGGAAAGAAGGAAAGAAAGAAAGAAAGAAAGAAATATGTGTGCGTGAACGCTTGTCAAATTGAGCGTAGTTTTGACGTCACTTGAAATGTACGCAGCTCTCCATCTATCTTTCTTTGTTGTTCCGAGAATGTAATAACAAAATAATTTTTACACAATCAATTCTTTGAGAAAACTAAATGCTTACAGACCGGTTGGCACCTGGCACCAAGAATGACCGAGCACTATAAATGTTTGCAAGCCTTAATTGCAATAGGTATATTAAGTTATGATTATTTTAGTATGTGACAATGTTGCAGAAGAACAAGCCGAACCGTGTTGTGGCGGTGTAAGAATATCCACTACCCAATATCGTCCCGTGGGTGTCGTAAATAGCGGTAGAGAGGAAAAAATCAGGAGATGGGCAGCACTGTTTTTCTAATAACAAAAACAAAATTGTGATGGAACAAATAGCAAAACAAAACATTTAGAAGCAAATTTAATGAAGTCACAATTTAAATTCAGTTTTCAGAGTCATCATTTTTTTTCATAATATGATTTAATATTTTTATTACAAGCTGGTTTCTGCTGTAATTAAAATGAGGTTATACTTAAATATATAAAAAATATACTTTTATTGATGAAGCTGATGTCTGCTTTGATTTTTCATACTAATTAATATAAATAAAATACTTACAATAAAAAAATAACAATCGGAAGTAAATTATATTACTAACAGTGGTAGAGCCACGCGGCAGCTTTTGCTGTCGCACGGTTGGGTCGGCTTGAACCGGGGTGGTACCACGACCTCACAGAAAACCAGCGTGAAGTAGAGGTTTACCTCTGCGTTTCGCTTGGTGAGTGCAGGTGGCCGGAGGCCCTTTTTACTAGAAATGAGGCATTCCATCTTAGTCCTCACGGGTGACAACGCATCTACATTTTGATTTGTAACAGAGGATAGATGTAGATGTCTATAGGCCGCAGCGGCCACTTACCATCAGGTGAATAGTGTGCTCGTTTGTCACCCTTATCCTATAAAAAAAATTAAGGAATCGTAAACTGTATTGTGTTTGAATATTTTTGTCACGACTGTACTTACTGGTGTAGGTTGAGTTTAAGAGGACTACAAGAGCTAAGTGACCTCGAATGACGTACGCACACCTTTACACAATTTTGGTATAGCATCAGGGCTCGGGCCGCACTGTCGGTACACAGGCGTTTACACACACATGCGTTATGTTCAGAAATAAGAAAATTGGACTAAAAAATTAAAACACTATTACATTAAAATGTTGCTAGTAGAATAATCTGACAAAAAAATCACCGATTGCATGTATATTAGTATGGTTTTTAATCGTTAAAAAAAATTTTTAGAGGTATCTATGTGATTTTTTTCTATCGTATCAAGTTAGTAGTATCATGATTTCAACACAATATCTAACTAGCTTATATCCTGAAAAATATAATAAGATATATTTTTCTAATTTTGTTTACTGTAGTGGGTCATATACTTTAAGGTTTAAGGCGTTATAAAACTTTCGTTTTGCTCCTGTAGTCCCCTGAAATCGCGTATTTTAAAAGTACTGAAAATAATATCCTGTAATTTAAATTACGTATGAGTGTTTAATACTGAAATGTGATAATTGCACTTGATTAAAAACAAAACTGTCCCAGGCATTCGAGTAGTTAATTATAGTAGTATTATTCGAGTAGTAAATATTAGTTACTTTTAATTAATAAACAATAATCAATAAACGAAAAACCCGTTAAAAAAATATCTTGTAAATAAGTACGAGTAATAAGCTCGCATGGACGTTCGATGCAATGTCTAAATAAATTATATATTTAACTACATAATACTTACTTCATAATATTTTGTAATTATTCGAAATGCGACAAAGACACGGTTTCAAATAACCGAAAACGTAAACTAAAATAATATTCCTACATTTTGAAATTCATTAATAAGATAATCAAAAAAAAGACTAGTTTTTAATTCCTAACTTTTAGTGTTTTCAACACTAATTGGATCTGCACAAATATTTTAGACACAAATCTATCAACAGTATTTTGTATTGATTTTCTATTTTTTTTTTTTACATTATCCGCTACAACTATCACAAGATGGAGACTTTAATGTCAACTTTCGCTCCAAAACGCGTTCGAATTAAGAATCGCGTGCAACCTGAAGCGTACTAACTAAAACTGTCGCTATGCAAACTGGACTTTAACACGACGTACTAAGATCCACATTTATACTGGTGTGTAGTTTCCAACGGGCTTGTAGAAAACTTGCCCGGTGACCAGGCGACGGGTGATCTCCTTCAGCAAGAGGCCCTTCTCTTTCTTGATCTTCGCAAGGAAGCCTCGGTTTTCGTTGGCGCGTCGCGATAAATATGGCAACACTTCAATAACCGGTCCGTAAGGGACGTATTTGTAGGCCGAGTAGCCAGCTTGACCTGTAAAATGAAGTTATAACCTTGTAATTTTAACTATCTAGACATTAAAAAACAGAAGAGAAACTACACTAAACAGGAGATGATCACCAGCATCTTCTGATAAATCACTGCGGGTGCCAATCCGCCTGCCAAGCATTACGACAATGGCAAATATCCCTCGGACTCCTATGGTGAGGCCTATGTTTACTGACTGTAGTGATGATCATGGTGATGATGCAAAAAGGTTCGAATGAATTTTATCGTTATTAATGGTGGTGTACCGTACTTTGTGGCAAACTATAAGTAAGCCCTAAGTTCAGCAATGGACTTGTTACGGGCTGTAGTGATATTCAAATAGCCAACTACTCAAGCGCTACTCAGTTTTAAGACGTCTTTAAGTCTCGTGGAGTTGTTGTAACTTTGACTCAAGTGATAGAGAGAGCACCAGACTTAACGGCATCTTAAAATTGAGTATAGGGCGTAAGTCCTAAATTTTTAAAATTGGCTTTAAGTTTTTTTGTTCGGCTTTTGTCGGCTATTTCTAATATCTATTTTTAATTTTATTTCTGTCTGTCTGTATGTTTGTTCGGATTAACTGGACCGCTTGCAACGAAACTATACACGATTTTACTATAAAACTATGAGTGGCAAAGAATAAAATGGTAAGAACTTTTTCACATTCAATTAATAGATCTCTACTATGTATATATTTACCGTTCTAATTTACCCTAAATAATGCAAATAATTTGATTTGATAACATACCAGGACATATCAAAAGATGGTCAGCAGTGTCTTTCTAATAACGAATAAAAAACTGCGGTTGCCAAACCGCTTGCCAAGCGTGGCAACTATGGCAAATATTCGCCCTTTGGAGGCAACATATGGGAGAAGCCTACATTTAGACTTTAATAGGCTGTAACGGTAACAAGATAACATACCAAGCGGGAAGGTGATGTGGTCGCACATGCCCAGCAGCTGTCCGAAGCAGACCACCTTGTCCTCCGGGCGGATGTTGTGCTCCTTCATCAGATGTATCGCGTACCGCACGGTGTCCTCGTTGTGCGACGCCACCATAATGCCCACGCGATTATTGCCGTCCGTCTGGAAAACAATGTAGAGATATTAATGGCATTTTACTGTCAAGAAATTCTCAGTATAAACCTGAAGTCAGTAAGTTGGCGGTGTCTCACTCCCGTGCCTCGGAATGCACGTAAAGCCGTTGGCCCTGCGCATGATCTCTCTCCGGTCGTGTCGGATTAATGTCCCATCGGACTATGAGAGTGAGAGAATAAAGAGTGCACTTGTGTTTACGTAAACATTTCGACACCATAATCCTGTTCTGTGCAGACGGCTAGTTTTCTTTGAGACTGGCCGCCATAGCCGTAATTGGGTTTGGAGAACATTATTATTATTATTATAATGTACCTATTACATATGGACCAGTAACTTTCGAAGCAGATTTAGCCAAGCTACTTTCACTTAAGACACAATCGTCACTAATAGAAACCTATAAAAATTCATAAAAGAAAAATTATATCCTTTATATGTTCCAAAAAAAGCTACATGTTTAAGAAATTAAATATTACAAGGGCATTTGAAATCCGCCAACTCACATTGAAGCAGCGAGACGACTACTCTCCCATGAACCTCACAAAAAAGGAGGAGGCATGTGTCCAGAGGTGGATATAGACTATGAAACAATCGCTATGGATTTTCCGTTATCAGTCAATCGGCTTATCAGTCAGGTGGGCATAGAACTTGGGAGTAAAAGGTAGAATATTCTTATACTCTCTTCTAATATGTATTATGTCAATGGTACTGAGCTATCAAGTGATCTGGTTTACCTTAGCGCGTCCCAGAATCTCCTTGAGGCAGCGGTGGAAGGAATTGGTGGTGGCCTCAACGCTCTCACACGTCGGGTCTTCGTAGCCCATGGCCGCCGCTCGGGCGCGCTCCTGAAAACAAATTCTCATATTTATTTATTCTTTTATTTTGTAGCCGGTGGAAGGAAAAGGGGAGATCTCCCGCCGGGCAAGCTGTTCTGCCCGGGGAGCGGCCAGCGCTTCATGTGATATTTCGGAGCTATTCTATATATAGTGCTTTATCTTCGGAAGTTTGTTAGCGCGATTTAGGCTTCGATGTGTTTCGCTTGTGGCGCGACCACAGCGCCGCTACAAGCGCCGTTATAGAATAAGCGCCCTACTACATTTATCTTCCATTAAGAATCAAAATACAGATACGTTGTCACCCCTGAGAACTAAGACGAAACGCCTCGTTTCCAGAAAAAAGGTCTCCGGTTCTCTACACTCACCATACGAAATGCAGCAGAATTAAGCTGCTATTTGAGACTGGTATTCTGTGAGAGTGTGGTCCTTCTCCGGTCTAGCCGACCGATTCGTGCTAAAAACCATAATATAGCTTATGTTCAGCATTAAGTTTTAGTTTAATGGTTATAATGATGATAATGGTGTTATTGTTTTAAAAAAATATTATTAAATTTAAAAGGTTTGAAAAAAATTCTGGGTTCCTTACCGATTGGTCGTTACCTATAATGGTTAAAAATTACAATACTTTTAAGTAAAAAGCAAAATAATCAAACCCTTCCCTATTTTGGGAAATGCCAATCCCAGTAGTGGACTATTTTAAGCGAAACAAGCTCGCTGTAAATTTCACAGTACGCAAACAACCCGGGTTCGATTCCCGCCGGCAGCAATGAAATTGTTAATTGCAATTTTAAGTGCTGATTTACCACGTAAGGAAAACATCGTGAAGAAACCGGCATGTCTGACAGACAAATGAGAAAAAAGAAAATATTTCAAAGATATGTAAGTTCCCCAACACGCATTGGGGCAGCGCGGCGGACATTTCCTTGCCATAAAACCCTCTCAGAAATGAGAGGAGGTCTGTGCCCAGCAGTGGGAAGTTACATAGGCTGTAACTTTTAAACTTTAACATGAAAACAAAATAAAAAATTGTCACAATTTATTGAACATGCAAAGTAGTCCCTCAAGCCGGATATAATGGAACATATCTCACTGTGATGGTAATTAGTTTAGATTGTTGTAAAACATATTTTTGATAAGAAAAAGAAGTAAATAATTTGTGATTACCTGCTCGATATACGCGCCGCGCACAAGTTTCGCGCCCCAGTAGAAGTTCTGACGGTGAGCCTGTTCCAAGTCCGTTACAATCTCATTGTACGTATTCTTCAGATACGTCTGGTACGTGTTGAACACGAGGAACTTATCCTGTTGGTAAATAAACACGAATTAATTGAGCGGTCATTTTTTTATAATTACAGTCTATCAGGTCTACTACTATGAGATGAGGACCTGTGCCCATCAGTGGGACGTATATATACTATAACTTTATAGGATTTGAAAGACTAACCTTATTATATCTCCTCATCATCTCCAAGCAGATCCGCGAGATGGCCGGCTGGAAGTAAGTCTGCTCCGCGTCGATCATGACCCGGACGTCAGCCTCGTTGGCGACCTGGATGATGTGGTTCAAACGGCGCAGCATGTTGCGGAACATCTCCTCCTCCTTGGGCGATATCTGGGAGATGAGGCGTCGCATCTGCCCGCTCTTCGGGTCCGGGACGCGGAACGAGTCCGACAGATTCATGTCCTTATCGAGAATGTTCGACCAAGGGAACAAGTGGACTATGCTGGAAATTTCATGCGATTGGTACTTTAATTAATGATCAAAACACGATTGAATTCGAGATGAAAAATTGCATTATACTGTCCATAAAGCCCTGAATATTTAATTAGTTATTTAATATCATAATAATATTATACAAGGCGGTGCTCTTCGATACCGCACGCATCGTCCGCTGGTTTCTTTCCCTTTCTCCCTAACCCTCTTTGATCTTCTCTGCTGAGGGCTTCCATCTGGTTGGGTCAATATTTATTAACGTATTTTTTAAGTGAAAACTTGTTTCGACATGTTGGGCACTTTTAGGAAGCAATGAACTCGCGTGAACGTCACACTCAAATACATAAAATTTATTAAAGTAATATTGAAAATCCAATTGAATAAATTTTATAACAATGATATGTATTTATCAATTTGTTTGTATTATATATAGATAATAATCATTCTTATTCATGTAAAACAGCGCAATAAATAAAAAAAATATATTAAACTTTTATAATACATTAATACGTTTATAAAAATAATTTGTAAATAAAAATTTCTTAACAACCCAAAGTAATGTTTACAAGTTAGTAAAGCTAAGAAGTTTTCACTTTTGACGTGCAGTCCTACGAATGACAGTATTTTTTTATTTTTTTATTTTACTATATTTAATGTATATTTATCATTTACTTTCATATATTTATACAGCCCAACCAGATGAGAAAACTATATTAATACCCCAATAGCAAATAAATTATTTATATTATTCATATGCCATATACGGACCAGTAAGCTGAAGTGGTTAGGTCGGCCAAGTAACTTGAAGAACCGACAACAGATGGGAAAGAAAGGTCCTTGAGTGGTAGCTTCGTACTGGGTAAGCGAAATAAGAGGGGCTCCCACTAAATGGCGTGACACCTGGTAATACATGGAGAGAGTCGATTGATGCAGGTGGCTAAGGACGGTGTTTTGGGGCATTACTTGGGGGAGGCCTAGGTAGAGCAGTACACTTGTAAAGGGCTGCAATGTTGACTAAATATGATGATATCTAAATACTGCTGTTAAAGATTTGTTTATTGACTATATAGATATATTTTTTTTTCATATTTGTAATTGTTTTTATAACATAAGAGTGACAAACAAGCTATCCACCATCTGATGTGAAGTGGTTACTGCCCCCGAGGACTCCTGTATTAACTTAAAACAAAAGAAGAGAATTATTGCGTTGTCATCGTTCAGATCTAATTATTAACTGCAATGATACTACTTCTCGTACCCTTCAAACAAAGAAGGCTACAGATACGTTGCCACCTCCGAGGACTGAGATGGAATACCTCACAGCCTGTGATTATGCTGGATCTATACCATAATCTGGAACATAGCATAAGTACAGCGGCAGATACAATGAAGAAAAAGATTTCTTCCGGACAAATCGCTCATCCAATAGAACAATGACGTAATTACAAAAAAGCAGAAATTTACATTTTGATGTCACAAGTTCCCGTTGCGGAAGTTCTTTTTATAGAAAAAACGACAGAATTGTTCTTACAGTAGTTTTCGATAGAGGGCGTGAATGTCGTTTGGGAATCGGCTTGGTTTTTGCATGGTTACGGAGAAATATCGGCGGATTTGACATTCGTGCGGGGCGCCCCGTGAAGTGCAAACGTGTTGGGACTTACAATACGGCCGACGTATCTTGGCGAGTCCGACCTTCGCGCAGAAGGTTGCGCAATAGCTTTTTTAAGGAACAAAATGGTGGCATGAGGCGACGTACGGGGGGCGGTGGTCTAGGCTAGAGATTGACCATAAGTAAACACAATCGACCCTTTAGTCATAAAATATCGCAATCGATTAGTTTTATTTAGAAGTTATTGATTTTTGTTTATATAAGATATTAAACGAAATAGATTTACAAATATAGTGAATTTTGTTGATAATAAACAAGATTTCGACTTAAATAAAAAAAAAAAACTAAAAACATATTATTTTCTCAGCTGAAAGACATAATGTACTTAAATATCAATTATCTATTAACGTCTTCTTGAGTAACGACTATTTGAGAAAATTTAGAACCTCCTTATAAATTGCAAATAAATATATTTTTATGTCTTAATTTTAATCGATTTGAATAAAAATCGATTAAACAACACCCTCAGGCACGCGTGTTGGACATCCCTTTCTGGTTACTTCGTAAAGCTTCGTGCTTATTCGGCAATGCTCGGTACACGGTAATATTTCTCAGTCACACGTTAGCATTGGTGTCGTGTTCGTGTCGCTATCTCTGTCTTGAGCACAGTCGGTTACAAAAGTTTTCGTTGTTATTGTTGTTTGTTTTTATTAATAGTGTTAAGTTTGTTTTGTTTGTTTTATTTGTTTTATTTGTTTTATTTGCAAGTGTCAGTTAGCACTTATATTATTCGCCAAACATGCCACCAAAACATAACAGTGTGTTAAATCGCCAGGCGAGAAAAATTATTTACGATTTAACGCAATATATGAAAAAAGAAAAAGAAGAAGGCGTAAAAGATGTCGATAAAGTTTATTTAAGAGTTGCTAACGCAACTGGTGTGTCCCAACGCACAGTACAGCGGATCGCAACTGAAGGCAATATTTCGGGCTTACTTTCAGTATTCCGCACGCCTGGTAAAAAAAGGTCTAGATCAAAACCTATTACTGATATGGATAATTTTGACCAGGGAGTAGTAAAAAGATGCATACACAACTTCCACAAAACTGAAAAAGAAATGCCGACGATAAACAAATTACTAGCGAAACTCAAACGGGATATAAATTTTCAAGGTGGTAAAACGAGCTTAAAGACAATTATCAAAAACTTGGGTTTCAAGTGGCGAAAGACCGAAACCAATAGAATGGTTCTTATAGAGAAGACCGACATTCGCCTGAAAAGGATCTTGTACTTGAAGGCAATGAAAAAATACAGGGACGAAGGGCGACCAATTGTATTCACTGACGAGTCGTATGCCCACTCATCACATACAAAAGGTAAGGCGTGGTCAGATGGTTCCGCTCAAGGACTAAAGCGCCCGATATCAAAAGGTCAGCGGATAGTGATGGTACACGCTGGGTCAGAAGCAGGGTTTGTTCCGAACGCGCTACTAATGTTCAAATCTGGCAGCAAAACCGGAGACTATCATGATGACATGAATTTCAAAAATTATGAGAAATGGTTACGGACCCAACTGATTCCAAATTTGAGCCCTAACTCGGTGGTGGTTATCGATAATGCTCCGTACCACAACAAATTAATGGATCCTGCCCCTACATCTAATGACAAGAAGGCAAAAATGGAATCGTGGTTATTAGAAAAGGGTATACCATATGAAAAGGACATGCGTAAACCACAACTTTACGATCTAATAAAAAAAAACAAAGACGTGAATAAAAAATACGTAATAGATGAAATGTTTAAACAAAACAACCACGATGTCCTTCGTTTACCCCCATATCATCCCGATTTAAACCCCATCGAGATGGTGTGGGCTGCCATTAAAGGGCACGTAGCCGCTAAAAACGTCGACTGGAACGTAACCCGGACAATGGAGCTCATACAAGAAAAAGTAAATTTAATGGGTCAGAATGAATGGAGTGCTTTATGCAGAAAAGTGCAAGAGGTCGAACATGACTATAGGAAGAGCGACCATATTATTGACGAAATGACGGATCAATTATTCATCATTAATACAGCTTCAGATTCAGAAAGTGAGTCTGAAAGTGAGAGCGACGATTACGAAGATGAACCTATGCCAAGTACCTCACATGGTACACAAGGGGCCGACGACTTTATGTTAGGAATTTCCCCCCTCAGCGACAGTGATTAAATAATAATAAGTGTAAATAAATAAAAAGTATTAAATGTAAATAATATTGTATGTGTTTGTGATAAAATCTGCCCCTATCGAAAGGTGAGGTATCAAAATTGAATCTTTAATTTATAATGTCTCCAAAGTGTTTTGATATTTTTGGTCACTGTATTAGGGAAATTTTATTTGTACATTGGTATATATAAAAAAATGACAATAACAGTTTTCTTCACGAGTGTTCATGCGCTAAACTTCGCAGAGCCTATATTCAGACTCGCCAAGATACGTCGGCCGTATTATACAGCGACGTAATTGTAAGTTATGACAATCAATTTCTACATTATTGGTGCCACAATAACGCATTTGACAATTATGACGTTGTGTCAACAAAACTGCAATTGAAAATCTTGTTATATATGACATAATTGCCAAATACGTTCTTGTTCTGACAAGTTCATAATATTTGTATACTTAGCATAGCTAATATTACGTTACAAAAATATGCACGTATTTTAGTAGATAGAAAACAAGTAACATTATGTATTTTTTATATTCATATACATATTAGGTACGTTTATAATAAAATTATTTCTTTCAAAAACAGTAAGGTCCACATTAATTCATAATTTGAAATAGGTATGTACCTATCTTTTATCTAAATTTTATCCTTGTTGTAAACGTATTATTATAATAATGACTAGGTATTAGTTTAATAATGGTTCAATTAGAGTATAATTTAAGGTATTGTTTTAGGTCATAGACGCAAACATGTCAAGGTCAAAAAGAATAGAGCAGATTGTAAAGTTGGGTCAGGAAGGACAAGTACCTTTACCATTTTCGTATAACGTAATTAGTGAATTACCATCAATGGATGAACCTGCGGATTTAAAAGGTAAGAAAATACATCTATAAGTGTCTACTTTTCTTCAAAATTAACCGTTTTCTACAATTATTTTATTTCATGGATGGAGGTCCGTATCTTTTTCAAATAAAATCATTGGGGTTAATCCCAAACAAATTTGAAATCTGTTGATCCTTTTTAACAGGCTTCAAAAAAGGAAGTTCTGTGTTCGACCTGTATGCATGTTGCCAGGTCTTAAAACCGAAAAGCCGGACATACCAGCCAGCTTAGCTGGACATTTTGGTAAAAGGCCGGACACCCTTAATTTTTTAGTGGATTTTAATTTAAAGTAAACCAATGCTATTT